ACGAACCCGATCAGAAGCTTTGTTACCTACGGAAGCAGTGGCGAGTGGCCAGGCAGATGCGAGATTCCTTCTGGAAAGGGTGGGTAGAAGAGTATTTACCAACGTTGACCCGTCGGACGAAGTGGTGTGTTCCAACGAAGCCGTTACAAGAAGGTGATCTTGTTTTAATCTGTGACAGCAAGGTACCCCGAAAGGAGTGGCGTCGCGGCCGGGTAAAGACGGTGTATCCTGGGAAAGATGGTCAGGTGCGTCGGGCCGACGTGTCGACTTCGTGTGGAACGATCCAACGACCTGCGTCCAAACTTGCTAAGCTGGATGTAGTTTGTAGTGAATCGGGGTCAATTCACGGGGGCGGGGATGTCATAGATTAGCGAAATGTAATTCTGGTAACTCTGTAATAGTTAAAGATTTTTGTAACTGAATAAAATTGCAACGCTGTGTTCCATTCCCTGTTTGCTATTTGTTGATCGAATTGCCATATAAATTCGGGCAACGGTTCTGGTCGATCATTATTATTTATATCACCAAGGCAAATCGGGAGTGAAAAATACTGTAAATTAAACTTGTGCAAACGCACATGTTAAAATCAGAATCCCGGTGTCGTGATAGCTACCAACGAAAAAAATAAAAAGTCACAGTTTGGTGCGGTTTATGGGTTGGTGGCATCGTTGAACCGTACTTCTTCAGAGATGATGCGAAAAAAAATTTGATATCATAGCACGGTAGCGCTCACCATTCGTAAAGTGAGCTTCGTTGCTGTTCATTGCAGAGTACGTATGTTGATTGTAAAATTCAACAACTTGCAAGCGTTGTTCGTTTGTAAGACGATTCATGGTTAAATTATAGATCAATCTGAAGATGTTTGACAGTGATACAAAACCCGAAACGTTTAAAGCAGTGTTTCCAAAAAGATAATAGTGTTACGATTTTACTGAATCAACCTCGATTATTTTCTAGATCCTTCGGGTACGATCTCTGGATTGTTAAATAAAAACTCGCCAACTTAATTTGCAGTATCTTTCGTTATAAAGATTTTTTCTAATGTCCTTTATTTACTCCGTAATTCACAATTCAATTACAATGCACTTCACTATTTACAATCACTAACATCAACCTTCACAATTTACTCTACTTAAATGTAATCTCCAACGCGTTTACTTTACGACTTTACTGATGTTAACGCCAACCAGTTCACTTTGTAACCAGCTTAACTTGCAGCTGAATGTCGCCCTTATATAGCAGTCGGTTGCTCGCAGCCGAAAGCGTAGAAGCATCGAGTTGTTCGCTATGGAAGGTTCTTGTTTTATCGTTTCTAGAATGTACTAGTTATCGGCTTCTCTCTTTCATCTGACATTCGCCTCGCATTTTCGCAACAATAGCTATAAAATAACCCTTAAGCCATCTTCCTTTTTCCTTCCATACCAAACATTTCAACATAAGCCTCCGATAGCTGTAAGAGGTGAACTTTTACCTTATTTGCTTCTTTAGTAATTTTTTTTTAGGTAGATTTGGATGTAGCCACCATATAAGGATTACAATGCGCAGACGTCTAATTGTCATCCATATTTACAAATGGGTAGCACTGAAAATAACTCATTATGTCGATGGTTATATGCAAAATTATCACCGTGAGCACTACAAGTTTACAGTTTCACGCAAAATGTTGGCATTAAGAATTCGAGCAAATTCGGACAGGGCTATGTTGTCATTTTTACTCAATTTTAGTAAGTGACATAACACTGCGGAACACTTGCTGATTATTATGAAATAAGAGACCATGTGCCAAAAATAATGAAAATAAGAACGTATATTACATAACCTATTAAGTTAATGGTTTGTCTCTTAATAGGAGTTATGTAATTTTGTGTTCTTGTTTTGTGTTCATATAACTGGTAAAAACTAAAAGTGCTATCAAGAACAAACATCGAATATGTAATAATAATAGGCTGATAAGAAACAGTTAATTAATATTATTTTTTTGCGAAGTACTAACTGTTGCGTAACGAAAAATTAGTTATACTTATTCTGAAAATTACATTTATAGGTCGCGGAGCTTCTGCTAAAGCGGCAGTCAAAGCTGCTGCTGGAACTAATGGAAAGGTAAGATATTACGCGAAAATTTTTTGCCTTTACTCTTAACAAACAACATTTTTAATATCATAGATAGTAGCAGTCATTGGTGCCGTTGTTGATGTGCAATTTGATGATGATTTGCCACCAATCTTGAATGCTCTAGAAGTAGAAAATCGTGCTCCACGGCTGGTGTTAGAAGTTGCCCAACATTTGGGAGAAAACACAGTCCGCACTATTGCCATGGATGGTACGGAAGGTCTGGTACGTGGACAAAAGGTTTTAGATACTGGGTATCCAATTCGTATCCCAGTTGGCGCGGAGACTCTTGGACGTATTATCAACGTTATTGGTAAGTTAAATGCTTTGTGTAATATTTCGTGAAAAAACTTGTCGCAAAGGATTAATAGTTACTTTGTTTTAGGCGAGCCTATAGATGAACGCGGCCCCATTCCAACTAACAAAAACGCCCCCATCCATGCCGAAGCCCCGGAATTCGTTGACATGTCGGTTGAGCAAGAGATTTTAGTTACAGGAATCAAAGTTGTCGACTTACTGGCTCCATACGCCAAGGGAGGTAAAATTGGTTTGTTTGGGGGCGCTGGTGTAGGTAAAACTGTGTTGATTATGGAATTGATCAATAACGTAGCGAAGGCTCACGGTGGTTACTCAGTATTTGCTGGTGTTGGTGAACGTACTCGTGAAGGCAATGACTTGTATAATGAAATGATTGAGTCTGGCGTTATCTCACTTAAAGATAAGACATCAAAAGTTGCTTTGGTATACGGTCAGATGAATGAACCCCCAGGCGCCCGCGCTCGCGTTGCGTTGACTGGATTGACTGTTGCCGAGTATTTCCGTGATCAAGAAGGACAAGACGTGTTACTTTTCATTGATAACATCTTCCGCTTTACTCAAGCTGGCTCAGAAGTATCTGCTTTATTAGGTCGTATTCCGTCTGCTGTAGGTTATCAACCAACTCTAGCTACTGATATGGGTTCTATGCAAGAACGTATTACTACTACCAAGAAAGGCTCAATAACATCAGTCCAGGCTATTTATGTTCCAGCTGACGATTTGACTGATCCAGCCCCAGCAACAACATTTGCTCATTTGGACGCCACCACTGTATTGTCGCGTGCTATTGCGGAATTGGGCATTTATCCAGCCGTAGATCCCTTAGACTCTACATCCCGTATTATGGACCCTAACATTATTGGCCAAGAGCACTATAATGTAGCACGTGGCGTTCAAAAAATTTTACAAGACTATAAGTCGCTGCAAGATATTATTGCTATTTTAGGAATGGATGAGTTATCTGAAGAAGACAAACTTACTGTTGCACGTGCTCGCAAAATCCAACGTTTTCTTTCACAGCCATTCCAGGTTGCTGAAGTCTTTACGGGTCATGCTGGAAAACTCGTCCCATTAGATGAAACAATTAAGGGATTTAATCAGATTTTAGCTGGTGAATATGATCATCTCCCAGAAGTAGCATTCTATATGGTTGGCCCGATCGAGGAGGTGGTACAAAAAGCCGAACGTTTGGCAAAGGAGGCTGCTTGAGTTCATATCGTAACATTAAATATGAATTTTGCCTTAGTGACATCTACTGTTCAATTCAATCATAAATGAAGTAATGCGAATAAAAGAATTAATTTATGCATATATATTATTAGATTAATATAAACGGCTTTGCATAATGGCTACATATTTGAAAATATTAAGAAAAGTCGTACGGAACACTTAAATATCGCATATAAGAATGCCCAATCACGTTTAAAACGATTTTATTTAATTAAATTATTTAATTTCCCTCATTTTTACACATAAAAAATGCATTCTCACGTTTGTTTACTTAAGTAAATAAAATGACGTATGAGTGTCCGCTACAATCATGTTGTTGTTGTTTTTGTAACCCCAAAATTATTCCCCAAAGTACTTTTTGGGGAATGTTGCGGGAGTGACAGTCGCTCCGGCATAAATTCTTGAGCCCGTAACCCGCAGGGAATCCGCTACAATCATCAAAACTTGTGCTGCTCCTTGGTAAGACTAAGTTTATATATTCCAACGGAATGAATGTACATCGAATACACAATCCAATTTATTTTTGATAAGTGATTTACATAAAATCAGAATACGCCCTGCAAGGCGAGTAGCTGCTGCCTAACATGTTATCAGTCTGCTTCCTTACAAAGTTCATTTGTTATTTGAATTGACACAACACCGTTTTCGCCTTGTAAAACACCTTTGTTAATTAGCGGCATTCGGCCGGATTTAAAAATATTAACCTGGAAAATATTAAGCAGCACGGAGGGGGGTGCTTTTCCAGGCTTGGTGTTGTTGATGATGAGTTGTAGGGGGTGGTAGAAGGTGCCACCCTCTTTCAGAAACTGTAAACCAAACCTACCGGAGACCTTTAGTATTTGAGGTATTCAAAGTTAAAATTGCAAAAAAGAAAATGGATGGATGGATTACCCTATTAAATACTTTGTACATAAAGCGATTACTTTGAATTTTTTGTGTTTCTATATATAAAATCGAAATTCCAAAATAAAACAACTAGAATACAATTTTAACACTGGCTTTGCCTTGCCGCCTAAAAAGGGAGTGTTTTGCTTAAAAATACTGTGCAAGGGTGATTTTTTTTAAATGCTGCCCAAGGTAGCCAACTGTCAAAGGTGTTCCACTTAAGAATACTGTGCGAGGCGAAGCCGGTGTTGGTCCGACCCAGCGTTATGTTTTTTAAATCCCGCCGAATGCCGCTAGCTTGCAAAGGTGTTTTATTTAAGAATACTGTGCAACGCGAAGCTGGTGTTGGTCCGATCATGGAAATTTTTTTTTAAATCTGTCTGAGCGCCGCTAAGTTGCAAAGGTGTTTCACTTAAGAAGCCGGTGTTGGTCCGGCCCGGGGTAATTTTTTTTCCACACGTCAGGTATCATTAAGGTGGTCGAAGGCAAATTGAGGACCTTCGTGAGAAATTGTGCTACCGCTGGTCCTAGATGTTTGAGCATCAGCATGCTTATTCCGTTGGGGGCTTTCGCCTTCGCGATGACCCTCTGAACATCCTCCCTGGAGAAATCATGCGCCGCGCTGGTGCTTGGCAGTTTGCGCATACCGCCGGTTACACGTCGCTTCGCTTTGTCTACCGAAGGATTATCGCCGTTTCTGTCGGAGAATTGGGGCGGATTTCCGCAATTCGGCCTGCCGGGATGAAGTGGGCGGTAGCGGTCACGACGACCCTGCGGAATAAACGCTCACCAGTGGTGACGTCTGAGTACGGTACGAACCGGCTGTCTTGAGAGCTGGTCTGTGTGCCGTGCTGTCCAGCAGTTGTTGAACATTTTGCTAGATGGTGTCCTTTAAGTCTAGTACTCCTTGATGTGCATGGGATGTTCAGCCTTAATAAGATGAATATGGGAGTATTCCCTATTATGCTCCTTAACTCGTAGCATGGATGCATCACTGTGCAAGTGATGCTCCGGCGATATCAGTAGGTTTCCTGTGTCGGTGTTCTGTGAAACCTGTAGCTTCTTCATCCGCGTTTCGCAGCTCGCCGGTGCCAAGATCGGTGCAACATAGTTAACAACCATCCGGCCAGTTGTAGGTTGTTAGCAAGGTTTCTTGTCCTTACCCCAGATGCTGCCGGATAGTACTTTGAGTATTTTTTTTACAGCTCTGGAGTTTTCGGCAAATTCCATCGACCTTCATATCAAGTTCGAGAGTGTTCGTCCAGCCAGTGACAGGACAGCCGAATTGAGCTGTCGTGCAGTGAAGAAGTGGAACAGATCGTCGAGATAATCGTTCCCTTTGGAACAAAGATAGTCAACCAGACGCCAATATTAAGAAATCATGAGGTTGTCACGTACTGGCCGCAACAAAAATTTGTTTTTTGTTTTTTGTTTGGCTATATAATTTCTTTGTTTTGACAGTGACATCTGTCGGCTAATAGTTGTGTAATTTAAAGCCATATATTCGTTGTGTTGTTGTTGTTGTAGCGGTTCGCTAACCCCGCTTAGGCACAGGTTTATTCAGTCTAAGTCGCCGAGGTCATCTAGTGGTAGGTCCAGGAAACGAGCTGTTTCGACAGGGTTGGACCAAAGGGATAGGGGGATTAGATGAGTGGGTTTGAGGGGGCATGTGAAGAGGTGGTTAGTGTCGTGCGGGGACACTTCACATGCCGGGCATACGTTAGGTATGCTGGGGTCTAGTCTGGATAGGTAGGAGTTTAACCTGCCACAATATCCAGACCTGAGTTGTGTCAGGGTCACGCGGGTCTCTCGGGGCAGCTCGAGCTCGTTGTCTGCTATAGGTGGTGGTTTGTCTCCGAGTACGCCATTCACTGGAAGGGAGTCCTTGAAGATGTTGACTGACTCCTGGTGAATGGTGTTCAGTGCTTGTCGGTACGCCGTCCTGTCCAGCGATTGTTGTGTGTGTTGCTGGATTGTGTCCTTAAAATCTGGTACTCCCTTTCTGATGTGCCTAGCTGGAGGTTGAGCTTCTATTAGACGCCTACTGGGGTGCTCCCTGCGGTAGCATAGCTGCTTCCCTGTGCAACTGATGCTCCGGCGACATCAGGAGGTTTCCTGTCGCAGTCCTGAGGGCGGTGTTTTGGCAAGCCTGTAGCTTCTTCATCTGCGTCCCGTTCGTCCCCGGCGTCCAGATCGGAGCAGCATAGTTTACGACCGGCCGGCCAATTGCTTTGTAAGTAGCCAGCAAAGTTTCTTTATCTTTACCCCAGGTGCTGCCGCCTAGCGCTTTGAGTATTTTGTTGCGGCTCTGGAGTTTTGCGGCAATTGCGGTCGTATGCGGAGTGCAGGCTGTCTAGAGTTACTCCCAATATTTTTGGGTTATTTATCGTCGGAATTTTTTCGTCATCGACCTTTACATTCAGTTCAAGCCTGTATTCCAACTGGTGAAAAGGGTAGCCGAGGATTTTGTCGGTTGGATTCGTAATTGTCTTGCAGTGAGGAAGTGGTAGAGATCAGCGAGGTAGCCGTTTACTTTCGAGCATAGGTCATCAATATCCTGACCGAAAAAAAAATATATATATATACCCAGTGGTATAACTTTCCAAAAGGTGTTGTTCTCCCCAAAACGGGTTCTCCAATAACAAATATTAGGGAAACGGATTTCTTTACGCGGGTGTACCGTAAAAAGGGGTTTCGCCTTTCGCTTTACTGGTGTGCTGTCGTAGCGTGCGCTATTCAACCCGTTCCCCTTGAGTAATGGGGGCGGCGCCAAATAATTGAGCACCAATCCACACTAGCTTGAGAGTTTTGGAGGCCGGCGCGCACCTTGGCTCTTAGGTACGTGCCGGATCAGATTCTCTAAATGTTCGGAAAACACATTTTTTGCAGACAGACAGACAGGATAGAACTCTAAAGATCGTAATGCACGTTTAAGTCGCCCAAAATCAAGCGTTATTCCGCTCTGAGTAGCACACCTATATCGGGACTATTTACAACTGGGCAACTTGTAAGAGGAGCAATGTAAATACTGAATATCTCGAGCTCAACATCGCCTGGATAGCTATGCCCTGACATTCTAGGGTAGTTTTATTGCGATCGATGTCGCCATGCGGATAGTGTTGTATCCGGCCCGGCTGAATAGATCTGATAGGGCGGTCAACTTTGCTTCCTGGATCGCAACAATTGACAGATGCTTTCGGCCTATGTAGTCGAATATATCGTCGATCTTCCCCTGCAGCCCGTTGCAGTTAACAGTCGTGTCTGTGTCGGGTGGACGCTCCTAATACGAGGGGTGAGGGGGGATGAGTGAATGTAGTGTGTTGTTGCTGGTGGATACCGTACGTTGGTGTTGGTTGGCAGCGTTGTTGTCGATAAAGGCAGGGGCAGACTCCTACAGCATGGGTCAACGTACACCCCACTCCGCTCATGGCTGATGCCCAGCACAGAACACGTCCGAGAATGGCGCCAGCGGGAGCAGGGGTTGCACCTGACTGATTGCATGTTCCAATGTACTATGGTCCCACACACGGAACAGAGGAGGAAGAGGATCTGGTTGTTGCTGCTATTGGTTGGCTTCCCAAATGTATCCTACTTTAATTGCATATTGCATCCAAAAGATTCGACCGATTTAATTAAGCAGCCTCCTTAAGCGTAGGGCAACATACACAATACTCCACTCACGGGTGGTGCGCGGGTCAGAGCACTTCTGAAAAGGGCACCAACCAGGGCAAGAGTTATATCTGGCTGAGGTCATGTTCCAGAGCACGCCCGAAAAGGGCACCAACCAGAGCAAGAGTTATATCTGGCTGAGGTCATGTTCCGACGCCCAATCTCTGACACACGGAACAGACTGTGCGGTGCACTAGGAGCTGCTGCGTAGTCCTCGCACGTGAGGAGGAAGAGGAGCTGGTTGTGGGTAGGTGGTGTTGATTGGTGGGAGACATGCTTCGGGGAGTTACATGGGACCGTAAAGGTCTGTTGGTTACCCAAAGTGGGAAAAGGTATTGAAGGCACTGCCGTTCAGGCTGAGTGCGCTCTTTGGCGCTGGCAGCAAGGGGCCACGTAACTTGCGGACTACTCCCTTTGGGGTTAAGGCCTGAGCAGACCTTGAGATGACTCCAACCATTGCACAGGTTGCACCTTACCATGGTAGATTAATGGCGGAGTCTTTTATGGCACTCGCAGCACAAATAATTCGGCGCACCATGTTGA